CCTTGCCCGCTCCCTCGCATCACACGACACACATGCGCGCACAATCCGCCACCGCCACCACCACCGCCGCCACCACCACCACCACCGCCACCACCGCCGCCACTGCCACCACCACCGCTGCCACCACCCCCAGACCGGCCCCACTCACTGCAGCAGGCTGTCAGCCAGGTCTGGGCACCCCGCCTGCCGCTCGTAGGCATGCAGCGCCGCCACCAGCGCCCGCAGGCGTGCATCCTCCGCAGGAAACAGCCCCTCCAGGCGCCGGCACGACTCCGCCAGCAGGGCGCCTGCCTGCTGCAGGGCCAGCGCCAGCTTGGCAGCCAGCGCGCCACCTGGCAGCCAGCAGGGCGGCACGGCGCGCCCCGCGGCGGCGCCGGCGGCCGCGGCCCGCGTGCTGAGCGCCACCCCGGCTGCCGCCGCGCCCAGCAGCTGTGCCAGGCGGCTGTTGGGCTGCGCGTGCAGGCTGGCGGCGGACAGCGGGGAGGGCGCCTGCCGCAGCACATCCTCCAGTCTCTCCTCCAGCACCCCCGCCGCCGCCTCCTGCAGCTGCGCCGCCGCCAGCCCCGCCGCCGCGCGCTCGGGGCGCGCGCGGCCCGCCGCCGCCGCCGCCGCCCGCCGCTCCAGCAGTACCAGAGTCTGTGCCCGCATCAGCAGCTCTCCCCTCATCAGGCCAGCCAGCTGGGCAGACAGGGCCGTGTCCTCCTGCCACCACTGCCACCAGCGCTCCTCCTCCGGCGGCAGGCGGCCCAGGCTGGGCGCACCGTCGCTGCAGCCGCCCGGTCCCGCTTCGGCGGCGGTACCGGCGCAGCTTCCCCCCGGGTCCGGCAGCCGCAGGACAGCCGCCATGGCCGCCGTCAGGCTGCCCGGCTCCACCGCCGCCGCCGCCGCCCTGAGCCACTGCAGGAAGGCGGGCTGCCAGGTGCTGCCGTCGATGGCGGCGTCGCGGCCCGACGCCACGGCAGCTGCCAGGAAGTCGAGTCCGGCGGGGGAGGGCACCTGCTGCAGCAGCGGCACCCCCCACAGCTTGTGGAAGCCGGGCGGCAGCTGGGCCAGGCGGCGGCGCGCTATGGTGGCCAGCACCGGCAGCGCGGCGGCAGAGGAGGCGGGGTGGACGTTGGGCGCCTTGGCATAGCCCAGCACACCCTCCCACACAGCCTGCGTGAGAGCGTCGGCATGAGCGTTGTGTTGGCGAGGGGAGGTGAGGCAGGAGGGCGCTCGGCCAAAAGCAGAGCAGCAAAGCAGAGCGGCACACAAGCCAAGCATAGCACGGCGCGGCGGCAGCCGCAGGGCAGCCCCTGCCCTCGGCGCGGCTCTCGGCCCAGGGCCCCCGCTCACCCCCCACTGCTCTTCCACAACTGCCGGCGGGGGCAGGCCGTCCTGGGAGGCGCCGCCGCCGCCGCCGCCGCCGCCATGCGTGAGGTGCAGGGGCCAGGCCAGGGCGAGCGCATGGGCCAGTCGCAGCAGGCACAGCGCGGCGTCGGCGTCGTGCTCGTCGTGCATGAAATGCTGCGGGAGGCGGGCGGGCACGGCGGCCGCCAGCTGGCGCAGCCACTCGCTGTACGCCTCCACCGACAGCGCCAGCCCGTAGCTCAGCAGCAGGCGCGCCGCCACGGGCGCCCAGGCGGCCGGCCGCTGCGCCGCCCGCTCCCCCAGGCCCGACAGCAGCGGCGCGGTGCGGTGCCGCTTGGCTGGCGGCAGCGGCGAGTGCTCAAACTCCTCCTCCGGATCATCCTCAATGCCTGCCGCCGCCGCGCCGCCGCCGCCGCACGCGCCGCCACTGCCGGCGCCGCTGCCGTGGAAGTAGGCTGCTGCTGCCAGGTCCAGCAGCACGGCCTGCTGCCTGGGCAGCAGCAGGCGCCCCTCGCGGCTGTCCTCCCCCCTGCGGGCGCAGCAGCGGTCACACAGGGCGGGGGCCGGGGCAGCGTCTCAGCACGGGGCAGGGCCGAGCGGCGGCCGGGCTGGCGGCGGCTGCCCGCAGCTGCCCCTTGCTCCCGCACCACCCCCCCAGCCCCCCACCCTGCCCCGCCCCTCACCACTTGAATCCGGGCTGCCCCAGCTCCCGCTCCAGCCACTCCTGCACCTCCTGCAGCTGCTGGCTGCCGTGCAGCAGCGTGCCCAGCGCCATCTGGATCCGCAGGTAAGCCAGGGCGGCCTCCCGCAGCCGCGGCTCCCGCCCCAGCCCGCGCAGCGCGGCGGCGTGGTAGGCGGCGTGCAGGGCGGGCAGGCGGGCCGCCACGTCGCGGCCGTTACCCAGCAGGAAAGCGTTGAGGGCGGACAGGGCGGGGGCCAGCAGGCGGGAGGCGGTGCTGCAGCGGGCGGTGGGGGCGGGGGTGGCGGTGGTGCAGGGGGCAAGGGAGGCAGGGGCGGGGCGGGCTCAGCAGGGCCGGCTTACAAATATCCGAAGCCTCTCCATCCAACCAGCCAGCCAAGAATCCACGCCAGCCATCCCTCCCCTCCCTACCACCGCCGCCACGCCCGCCATCACACGCGCGGGTGGAAAGCCCGCACTTGAGGCCCCCCTGCCCACGCCGCACCCATCCAGCCCCTGCCCCCGCCCCGCCCCCACCACTCACCCCGGGTCGCCCTCCGCCAGCTCCGCCAGGCTGGCCGCCAGCTCAGCGAAGAAGAGCAGGCAGTCGGACTGGAACACGGGCTGCATGTCGCCGGGGAAGGCTGCCAGCAGGGATGCCATGGTGGCCAGCGCGCGCCCCGCCTCCTCCCACACCCTGCCCAGCCCACCACGCTCCAGGAACGCCATGTGCACAGACAGCAGCGCTGCGGCAGGGCGGGCGGGCAGGCAGGCAGGGTTTTGTGGGGGGGTGGAAGGCGAGGCGGCGGGCAGGGTGGGAGGCAAGGGTGGGAGGCAGGGTGGCAGGCGGGCGTCCGCTGGCTTGCAGGGCCAGCAGCGCGGGGCTCGGACCGCCGCTGCCGGCCTCGCCTGGGCAGGCACGCCCAGGCACGGATCGAGGGCGAGGGCGGCAAGTGCGCCTGGTGTTGCATTCTGGCTGCCGGAGGCCGCCGCTGGCGGCAGGGCGGCCTGGCTGGCACCCCGTGCCCCCGCCGCCAGCCCCGCTAGCTCACCCTGGAAGGTGGTTGCGTTGGAGCAGGCGCAGTACTCTGGCACCGTCAGCAGCTGGTTGCGCAGCGCTGCCGAGTAGTCGAGGCCGGTGGGCGAGGCGGGGCCCGCCGCCTCCAGCACGTCGGCAACGTGGCGGAAGAGGCCCGCGGCGCGGCGCAGCAGCAGGCGGCTGTGCCCGCACCGCCGCCCGCCCTCCTCGGCGCGTGTCACGACGAGGCGGAAGGCGCGCTGCAGCGAGGCGTCGGGGCCCTTCTTGCGGCTGGCCGCGCCGCGCACCTCCTCCCCCACCATGCGCGTCACCACATGCGCCAGGCCCGGCCAGGAGGCCGCGGGCACGGGCGCGTCGGGCGCCAGCGCCGCCGTGGCCTCGTCCAGGGCCTGCAGGTACTTGGGGCTGTCCAGGATGGACAGCAGCGCCTTGAGCGCATCCTGCGGCGGGCGGGGCGGGGCGGCGGGTTGGGCGGCGGCGGCGGGTCGGGCAGCGGCGGCGGGATGGACAAGTGATCCGAGGCGCCCTGCAGCTGGCCGTCCACCTTTCGTCTTGTAGCTTTGTCGGATCGCAGCTCAGCGTAAATGTGCTCGAGTTTGTCCATTTCTAGCAGGGGTGGGGGCCGTGTGCAGCGCCCCAGGGCACTGGGGTGACTTCTGGATGGCAGGTAATGGCGTGCTTAATGCCAAGAGGGCCCGAGATCGCAGGTTTGAGAGGCGGTGCCAAGAGGTGCCACATAGGCGCGCGACTTCCTGCCGAGCCCAACATATGGCGCGGCACCACCGCCCTCATTTCACCAAGCAGCGAGGCAGACATATCCGCCCGGTCCGTCCTGCTGGCCGGACAGACACGGCCGCTCGCCGCCGTCTTGGGTGCCGCACCCCGATTCTCCCGCCGGCCCACCCAGTGTTAACCCAAACAACTGCATTTAGAGGAGGGCACTTGCGCCTGGGTTAGAGACGGCGAAGGCCACCTCGAAGCTCGCTATCGTCCCTCGCTGCCCCCCAGGCCTGCAGCCATGGCAGCCAGCGGTGGAGCTGTCGAACTTTCAAGACTCTTCTCCCTAATGGAAGTGAGTGGGCGCTCACTCGACAACCGGATGATGTGCTGCTTGCACCGCCCCCTGCCCTCGCACTCACCGTCCACCTGCTGCCACTTGCAGGGGGTGGACCCGGAGGGCTTGTTCAGCGCCGCCGGCCTGTCCACGCAGCTGCTGCGGGCGGCCGGCGGCGAGTTGCCGCCGCAGCTGCAGGGCATGGAGGGGCTGGGCGCTTCGCAGCTGGAGGACGGCGGCGGCCTGAAGAGCGGGCCTTCGGGGGAGGGGCAGGAGGGCGACGGCAGCACCGATGACGACAGCAAGGGGTCGGTGGGCGGCCAGGGCGGCGGCGCCACCGTGCCGCCACGCACCGGCGCGATCAACGAACGCAGATGCACCAAGGTGCGGCGTCTCAGGGGCTGGGCAGCAGGAGGCAGGAGAGGGGAGCGGGCTGC